ACCCAGCAGCACCCCAGCTGCTCTGCCCCAGGTGTCCTGATTCAGCCGCTGCTGAAACTTTTCGGCAGCGGCTGAATCAGGCCGCCTGGGGCAGAGCAGCTGGGGTGCTGCTGGGTTGGTCCTGTAGCACCGCCCCTCGGCACTGCGGGACCAACCCAGCAGCACTCCAGCTGCTCTGCACTAGGCGTCCCCAAGAGTAGTTGGGGTGCTGCCAAGTTGGTCCCGCAGCCCCGAGAGGCAGCGCTATGGGACCAACCCGGAAGCACCCCAGCTGCTCTGCCCCCGGTTTTCCGATTCAGCTGCTGGTCAGTTTCAGCAGCAGCTGAATCGGGGAAGCCGGGTGCAGAGCAGCTCCAATTGTCCGGCTGCCCGGAGCACTTCCGGGTTCCCGATGGTGCCGGACCATCAGGAGTGCTGGAGCATTGGATGCCGGACCAATGGAGTTTTACTGTATATGGCAATGGTGGCTGTCTTCTTCCAACGTCATGGCATCCAGGTTTACCCTTATTTGGACAATTGGCTTCTAAGGAGCTGGTCCTGATAGCTGGTGGAGGTTCAAGTGGGCCTTACCTGGACTACACTCATGAGTTAGGCCTCCTACTCAGCCCTGGAAAAATGGACCCTCATACTCAGGCCTCGACAAATCCGCTTATCTACTCACCCGTGGCGAGTAGATTTCAGCCGGTCGCCCCATTCACCGGCGGTGCGCTCTTGCGCAGTGCGGGGCTGACGAGTGGTTTTCGCCACGGTCGTCAAAGCCCTGCTCAGACCACACAAAGGATTGAGCTCATTGGGGCAGTTTTGAACACTACCAAGGCTTGGGAATTTCTGTCAGAGCACCGCTTTATCACAATGACCTAATTGTTGTGGTCTCTCGCTGATGTCCCAGTGACCACGGCCAGAATGCGTCTCAAGCTCCTGAGCCACATGGTGGCTTGTATAATTTTCATCCCATTTGCCAGGCTCCATCTCCAGCTCATGGCTCATGTCAGTGTATTGTCTGGCCCATGACAGCATCAACATGGTGGTGGTGATGATGCCTTGCCACATGATCCATGTGCTCCAGTGGTGGCTGGACCCACAGCCAGTGAGGGTTGGAGTCCATTTTCATGCTCCATGGCCTGCAATTGCCCTCATCACAAGCGTGTCTACTTTGGTCAGGAGAGGCTCAACTCGGAGATCTCATCACTCAGGCAATGCAGATGGCTGAGGAATTGCCTCTTTACAATCTGAGACACTAGGAAGTGCCCGTAGTATTGCTCCTTCCAGAAACGCAGTATGGGGTCGTTGACAGACACATTCCCGATCCTTCTTGTGGACTAGACTGCTGCATGCATTCTTGAGAGTCCACAAAGCGCATCTCAAAATCCACATGCACAGAACGAACATCATCTTGGTGGTCCCTGCTGGGTCACACCGGCACTGGTACCCACACTGCTGGAACTGTCGATTCAACTCTCCATCCTGCTACTCCTCCTCCAGGACCTCATTGCACAAGACAGTGGTTGCCTCCATCTCCCCGACCTTCGCTCCCTCCGTATGATTGTGTGGAGGCTGCATGGGTGAACCCTGCTGAGCAAGTGTGGTTGGAACAAGTCTGACATGTCCTCAGCTGCAGAAAGCCCTCTCTCAGACTTATGTATCTGGCCAAATGGAAAGGATTTTCATGGCGGTGCTCTCAGGGCAGCCTGGCCCTCACCTCTCTATCCCTCCAGTGTTTGAATATCTCACGTCCCTGAAACAACAGAGTCTGGCAACTTCATTGCTGGAAGTACACCTGGCAGCTACATCAGCGTTCCGTCTGGGAGAGGTAGGTCACTTTGTCTTCACAAGCCTGCTGGTTGGGTGCTTCCTTAAGGGTGTGGACAGGCTCCTCTCACCAGTCAAGTGCCCTGTCCCTGCATGGCATCTCAACCTGATCCTCTCTGCACTTATGGGGCCTCCTTTGAACCCTGAGCCATGGGCTCTCTCCTGTACCTCTTGTGGAAAGTGGTCTTTCTGGTAGCCATCCCTTTGGCATGGCAGGTGGTGGAGGAGCTCCGTGCGCTAATGTCCGAACCTCCCTACACTGTTTTTCATAAGGGCCAGGTTCAGCTCAGATCTCACTCTCCATCTTTTCCAGACGTCGTCTCCAGCTTCCATACCAGCTACAACATAGACCTGCAGTTCTTTGTCTCAAGCCCCACAAGAGCTCACCGAGCAAAAACGGCACTCCTTTATAGCCAGAAGGGCCCTTGCTTTCTGCATTGATCGTGCCAAACCCTTCCACACGTCTTCGCAGCTGCTGTGGCTGTGGCAGACCGCAAGAAAGGGCTGTCAGTATCATCACAGTGTGACTCTTCCTGGACCACAATGTGTATTCAGACGTGCTATGACTTAGCCGAGGTCCCCTCACCACCTGTCAGGATGCACTCACATAGGTGTAAGCCTCCTTGGCTGCCTTCCTCGCTCTCCAGGAGATCTGTCAAGCCGTCCATGCCTTCGTGTCACACTACTCCACTGTGCATCAGTCCAGGAAAGATGCAGCTTATGGCCCAGCTGTGCTCCAGCCAGCAACTTGCTGCTCCAGCCCCTCCTCCTAGGTAAGGCTGGTGAATCCATGAATTGGAATACATATGAGCAAGCAGTCAAAGAAGAAAAACAGTGACTCGCCTTTCGTAACTTGTTCTTTGAGATGTGTTGCATCTACTCCATACCCACCCTCCTTCCCCTCTGTCTGAGTAGCTACAGCTTGAATGATAATAGACAGACAAGAGGCTGTGACCATTCTTGGATTTATCTGGAAATGACAATTTGCTTCCCTTCAGCTGTAGGTTATAGGTTCATTAACTTTGCAGTAACTGAAGGAGTTTTGCTTACTTTTCTAGCTGATTTAAATAGTCCCATTATCACTATAAAAACAAACTAGGGTGGTGCTATATGTCAGAACAAAGTGATTACTATTATGGGTTTCTATTCTGCTTTTTAAGGACCCCATGCAACAGGCCTAACCCCCTTTGGTGCCAATGGGAGTTTGGGTGCAGGACTGAGCCCTTTGTTTTACTGATTAATTGTAAATCTCTGCTCACAATATATTATTCCTGTGATTTGATTAACATACCTGTAAAATGCCAGCTGAAGTGCTATTTGAATGTAGGCATCTGGGCTAGTCTTTTGTTTCTTGATAAACTCTTTTCCATAGTTTTCAAATTTATACACAACAAAATCTAGATTGTTTACTATCCTAGAAAACAAGCAAGGACATTTATTGTAGAGGAAAATGCAGGATTCCTATGTAACATTGTGGTTTGCAAGCAATATTTAGAAAACATTTTTCTCATGTACTGTTCACCACATATCTCACCTAGAACCTGTTGGGTTCACGCTTCCAGTTTAATGTCTGGCACTTGGCAACCAGTAAACTGTTCTTAACTAGCAATCTCTAATCACACACTATTCAACATGCAACTTTAACTTTCAGCATTGCTGTAGCTATGTTCATTTGAGTCAAACACTTTCTCCCACCCCCCGCGGGATTCTGCTCCTGAAGGCTAACCATCATTTGAGTCAAACACTTTCTCCCACCCCCACGGGATTCTGCTCCTGAAAGCTAACCACATTCTGCCTTATTATAAATTACATATTAGTGAAGCACCTGTGTTTAAATAATAGACAGATTAAAAATCTAATACAGACCTTGATTTTATTATGAACTCACATTTCAAAAAATAAGTCACCTTTTGTTTATTTAGAAACAAAGACAATTTTGGGAAGTTTCTGGAACGATCTAATGCCTCTTGTGTTATATTTTAGAAGATTTTTAAACACTTTAACAGTGCCACCTTATCTAATGGTATCAGACTAAGCAAAGATTTAAATTTGTCATGTTTACGTTGTTTAATTTTAATCAGAATATTAACATAACAAGCTTGAATTTCCCCAAAAACATTGTAAAGTCACTGTGAAAAATTCCATGCATAGCCATTAAGATCTGGAAAATCCAGCTCCGAAGAACTGGCCTTTTTAGTAACTGAATGCTCGAATTCAAATTATCTATTCAAACCAGTTGTTTACTACTCCCCTAAGTACATTTTCCCCTGAGGGAAATAATTTGTTCTGTTTTTGTCAGATCAGACCATATACCTACACAAAGAGAGGCCACTGTTTGCATTTTATGTAAATAATGAACACTATATTAAATTTATTTCCAGTGGTATTTGTAGTTATCGTAAGCTTCTCCTATATTTACATAAAAGGAATGTAATGACAGTAGAGTACCTGAGTGTACTGTTAACTGCACAGCCCTACAGGCCTGATTATGTGAGTCACTGAGTACCTTCAGCTTTCATGGGAGTTGAGGAAGGGTGGGCTCTATAATTAATTAATTGTTGGTCAGGTGTCTCACAACTTGAAGTAGTTCAGAAAAGTCCAGGAATCTGCAGTACCTTTGAAGTTTTTCTGCTGATGATGCTAAATGTCCCTGAATTTCTGGAGAACATTTCCATCTCAGTCTTCTTGGAGTAGGAAGCTCACTCACAGAATCAGCTCTGACTAATTTCTTAGAACTTTCCTTCCTGTAAACATGATAGAGAAAATACAATAGAGACATAGCAACAACCCATTTCTTATGAATGTTGTTATAGGTAAAGCAGTTTCTGTGGTATGCAGTAGAAGCCAGAGTGAGCTCTGATATCACAGATGTTCTATATTGCTGGGAAAACATATACACATGCAATGGGCTTAATTCTGATGCCATTTATACCAGTGTAAAGCAAGAATAACTTCAAAGAGCCAGTCATTTGAGTTGTCTCTAAACACGAGGTTTTGTTTTGGGGTCAATTTTTGCTTGTTGGGACAAAGCCTACTCTGAAGCCAAAGGGGAAACTCTCACTGATATCAAGACAAGTAGGATTTGGTCTGTTAAACAAAAATGGAGGAGAATTAAAGTCCTACATTGTTTCAATGCTTTCAAGTCTGCAAACTGCAATTCCAATTATAAACGACCATAATCAGGAGTATGAAGTTGATTTGTGGGAGAAAATGTGACTTCACTGTGAACTGAAGTGGAGCTAAAGACATAGCATTGAATTTCACTCTGAGGCCATGTCTACACTACGTGGAAGATTGACACTACTGCGATCAATCTTTTGGGGTTCAATTTAGCAGGTCTAGTGAAGACCTGCTAATTCACACTGAAGGGGCTGGTACTCTAGCTCCTCATGAAAAGTAAGAGAAGCCGATGGTAATGCTTGCTCCCATCAAACTGCTGTTGTGTGGATGGTGATTTAAGCTACATCGACTCCAGTTATGTAATTACTGTGTAGACATTATTTCCCCTTTAATGTAGACATGCCCTGAAAGAGCATCCCAGTATGCTTAGAACAGTTACCACATTGTTTGTTTTCAGGCACATTCATTTCTTTGAACATTTGAATAGAAAAACATCTGGATGCTGTTCTGCTATGTTAATAATGCAATTGGACTCACATGTGCTTGAGCAAATGTTCACTGCACTGTACCAGGACGATCCCATCGAAAGGGGAATGTTCACACACTATGCCACAGACTCCATCTCTTCCCACAACAAACTAGCAAGAGAAATGCCATAGCATAAATAATAAGCATAGGATAATGTACTGGATGCACTGTGCTTTGGATAAGATACAGCAAATGGATGGATGATAACAATACAGCATTGTTACTTCTCTGTTGACTTGCATATAGAGCCTGCTCCCTCCAGAGGACCAGAGTTGGGAGAGCTTTGTATTAATGTGAAAGAGTTGGAAAGAGAGGAATTATCAGCTGCTGTCATAATTTTTCTTGTTCTAGATTTCCTAATGTAACCTTTTTCTTTCTTTTACATTGGGAAAACGATATTCCTGGAATGTAGAGGAAATAGCTCTCAGATGCTTGGGTAACGAGTCACATTATTAATTAAATTATGCAAGTGTTACAAAGGACACACAATACACTGCAGCACCTCCTATTCCACAGGAAGGTCTTGCTTCCCCTGTCTGCTGTCACTCATGGGCAGGAAGCCATTCTGGTCTCAGTGCCAGTCCTTCCCAGCTTCTTGCTTGACATGCTGATAGAACCCTCCTCATTTTGTGGGTTCCCAGTCTGACTATCCTGCCTTTGCTAGTGGTCTTTGCCTGATCTCCAAAGGAAATGAAAAGTCATTCTGGCATCCAGGCAGATATCCATCAGAGCATGTGGTAATCAGCCCTGACACATGAGACGTGAGTATGGCACGTTTAATGGGAATCAGAGCAATTACATGTCAGAGCACAGTAAGACCTTACCTGCATGGATTTGTCATACCAGCGATTGGCACCATTTTTATCATAGCCTCCCCCATGTAGGAGTTGCGAAGCCATATTTGTATCGCTCAGTTCCACTCCACTTGGGCCATCCAGACACACCAAGCAAATACATCGTTCAATCATATCCAGGGAGTCACGGTTAGTAGAGTCTGTGGATAAAACATCAACAGGTTTACAACTGCATCTTGTGGTTGCATTACAGAAGCACCCAAAGTGCTCCGTGGAACAAGGTGGTGGCCACAGTCCTGCAATGAGTGCCAGGCAGAAGGGCTCCTCTGTCCTGCAGAGCCCTATTGCCATCAGAACTCATTGAAAGGCCAGGCCGATAGAGCAAGACAATTCCTGCTCCAAAGAATTCAGACTTTTGTGTTAATTTTGCAGTATAACTGTCTTTCTTTTACAATAGGTCAGGAGTATCAGTCTCTAAAAATTACCCACTTTACTATAGCTCATGGGGCAAAATCAAGCCTTTATTTTTTCCGAAGTAACCATATAAGAATTCAGGTAGACCTCACTTCACTTCACCACGACTTTTTCATCACATCATATTTTCTTTGATAAAATTTAGTTGCATGCATTCTCCCTGGGACTTTTACCAAACCATGCAACTAAATTTTATCAAAGCAGATGTGGCCCCTGATATGTGGCTTAATAAACATTCCATGATAAAATAACTGGATCTCTTCCCCCGCCCCCCCAGCCCCGTTTCATTTTGTTGTTTTCACAGTAAAAATCCTTGTGAAACAAGGAAACACCTGTTCTCTCACACTACGTCGATACTGCACATTTATTTTGGAATAAGCTATTCTGGAATAGTTATTCCGAAATAGCTTATTTCAAAATAGCACATCTACACTGCAGGGAAGCCTCAAAATTAGCCCAAGGCAGGCTTCCCTAATGTAGATGCACTATTTCGATTTAGAGCCTCAGGAGGCACTGGGGAGCAATAACTTAGAATGGCCCTGGTAAGGGGCTATTTCAAAATAGCAGAAGTGGAGCGTCTACACAGCCCTATTTTGGAATAGGCATTATTCTTGGTAGATTGAGGTTTACTGAAGTCGGAATAAGCCATCCGTTATTTCAAAATTATTTTGAAAGAACGGAATTGCTGTGTAGATGCTTGCATAGTTATTTCGGAAAAACGGCCATTGTTCTAAAATAACTTTGCTGTATAGACACACCCTCAGTTAGCCTGAAATTTTTCATCTTGGGAGCACTGAAAAAAAATCTGCCTAGTGAGTAAACTCACATTTTCCTGTTAAGTAAGTGTTTCCAACTTTCCCAGCTCTATGTCAATAAAGAAGATAACTGTACAGTTGAGTGCTCAACTCTACAGTTGAGTGCTCTCAAATTATTGTGTAGAAGGCAAAGCATTGGACTGGCAAATGGGAAACTTGGGTTCTGTTGCCAGTTTTACCACTGGCATGTCAATGGTTTTACCACTGGTACCTCAGTTTCCCCATTCTAAAATAAAGATAACGATACGCATCCCCCTTTGTAAACCACATTGAGATCTTTACTGAAAAATGCCAGATAGGAGCTAGGCATTATTATAATTTGAAAATGGAAAAATATGAAGTTAAAGTTGTGGGGTTTGTTTTGTGAACACTTTATTGCATAATCTATGCTCTGCATCTCCTTCGTTCCATTCTGTCTGACACACTTTGAACAAAGTGCACTTACTTTGGTTTTCAGTCTGTGCTTCTCTCTCCCATCCCCCCTCAAAGGTGATGTGCATAGAATTTTTCAACAACTGGGCTTGCACTCCCTTTTTCTTCTTTGTGATGAATAAAGGCAGGATCTATCTATCTATCTATCTATCTATCTATCTATCTATCTATCTATCTATCTATCTATCTATCTATCTATCTATCTATCTATGGCTTTTAACACCAAAATATTAGGAATGTAAAGTCTGGCCTTCAATGGGAAGGCCAATATGAAGTGGAAAAAATGTTTATTGTTAGTTCTTAATCATTAATTGAAAAGGTAAGTGTGGCAAATTTAAGGAAGACTTGTGATTGTAGTCTAGGATATATTAGTGATTGTTGTTAAATGGTTGTTATAAAAAACTAACCAGTTTCATACATTGACTTAAAATCCCTCTTAACAGCCTACAGCTGCTCACTTCCTTCATGTGAGGTTGTCATTTACACTATCTCTTCAGTCACTGTACAGTGAAAAGGAGGAAGAAAATGCACAAAGAAAAGTGAATAAAATGAGACTCCCATGTTAGAAACAGCAAAGGAATCGGAAGATACCTTTACAAATGAACCAGAACATGTCCAGAGAACCAATCAGTCAAACACTGACAAGTTCATCATGTAAGCAGAAAATGAACTGAAAAAGAACTCATGTACCATGACTTAGGATGGGGAAAAAAATCCTAGAAGGAATGAAAACAAGGGCTTAGCAGAGAACAAAAACTGCATAAACAATTTTAGCTTGTGCCCCTCCACCCCATCTAACACTCAAAATTGTATTTAATCTGATAAATTAATCTTTCTAGGGGACTTATTTTTTTAATAGGAAAAGAAGGGAATCAAAGGGGCTAACTTTAGACACTAAGGGTATGTCTACACTATCCCCCTAGTTCGAACTAGGGGGGTAATGTATGCATACCGAACTTGCTAATGAAGCCCGGGAAATTCAAATCCCAGGCTTCATTAGCAAGTTCGGTATGCATACATTACCCCCCTAGTTCGAACTGGGGGGTAGTGTAGACATACCCTATGGGTGTGTCTAGACTACATGCCTCCGTCGACGGAGGCATGTAGTCTAGACACACCCAAAGGGTATGTCTACACTACCCCCCAGTTCGAACTAGGGGGGTAATGTATGCATACCGAACTTGCTAATGAAGCCCGGGAAATTCAAATCCCAGGCTTCATTAGCAAGTTCGGTATGCATACATTACCCCCCTAGTTCGAACTGGGGGGTAGTGTAGACATACCCTATGGGTGTGTCTAGACTACATGCCTCCGTCGACGGAGGCATGTAGTCTAGACACACCCAAAGGGTATGTCTACACTACCCCCCAGTTCGAACTAGGGGGGTAATGTATGCATACCGAACTTGCTAATGAAGCCCGGGAAATTCAAATCCCAGGCTTCATTAGCAAGTTCGGTATGCATACATTACCCCCCTAGTTCGAACTGGGGGGTAGTGTAGACATACCCTATGGGTGTGTCTAGACTACATGCCTCCGTCGACGGAGGCATGTAGTCTAGACACACCCAAAGGGTATGTCTACACTACCCCCCAGTTCGAACTAGGGGGGTAATGTATGCATACCGAACTTGCTAATGAAGCCCGGGAAATTCAAATCCCAGGCTTCATTAGCAAGTTCGGTATGCATACATTACCCCCCTAGTTCGAACTGGGGGGTAGTGTAGACATACCCTATGGGTGTGTCTAGACTACATGCCTCCGTCGACGGAGGCATGTAGTTTAGACGTACCCTATGAGACTGCAACTCTAATGACTTTAGTAGATTTGCACATGCTTTCACCAGATCCAAATTTAGATCTTTGTATTTTATTAGGTTTGCAATATGAACTCAGTTAATGACTGTGTGTGTATAACAATCGTGACTGGTGTACAACATAACATCTTATAGCTTCTTTGCACTCTCACTCTCCTAAATTCCCATTTTTTCTTCTCTATCTAATCACATTTATATGCCCCCCATTTCCCCATTCTCATCATATTTGAGTGTCTCACAAACTCTACTCTGCTTATCTTCATAATACCCTGAACTCAGTTAATGACTGTGTGTGTATAACAATCGTGACTGGTGTACAACATAACATCTTATAGCTTCTTTGCACTCTCACTCTCCTAAATTCCCATTTTTTCTTCTCTATCTAATCACATTTATATGCCCCCCATTTCCCCATTCTCATCATATTTGAGTGTCTCACAAACTCTACTCTGCTTATCTTCATAATACCCCTT